AATGTTACAAATTATACTTCTATATATTATTAACCATTAATATAGATTCATAATTACTTTTATGCTTTTCTCTTTAAATCCTGTAAAAGAATAAAAAGTAGAGTCATAGACCAAAATTAAAATAATTCTGGCTTTTTCCATGTATTTACCTTTACCAGAGAATTTTATATTTTGATTTGGCTTCAAGTTGTTGTCAAAGTTCTTTTTGTTTCAACTTGAAGGACTTTTTTATTTTTTAGTATTTCTTGTAGGTCAGATCTATTGATAATAACCTTTCTCAGTTTTTGTTTATTTAGATATATTTAAATTTATTTCTCTTTTTTGAAGAGTAATTTTGCTGGTTATAGATTCTCAGTTGACAGTTTTCTTTCCTTTGTCACTTTAAATATATCGTCCCACTGCCTTCTGGCCTGCAAGATTTCTGCTGAGAAACCTGTGATAATCTTATTGAGGATTTCTTAAAGATGATGAGTTGCTTTTCTTTTGATGCTTTTGAGATTCTCTTTGCCTTTAGCTTCCAACAGTTTGAGTATGATATGCCTTGGTTTGGCTCTCTTTGGGTTTATCCTACTTAGAGTTTGTTAAGTTTCTTGTATTTGTATTTCCTTGTCTTATCTCAAAGTTGGGTTTTTGGCCATTATTTTTTCAAATAATCTTACTGCCACTTTCTCTCTCTCTCTTCTCCTTCAGGAAACACTGTAATATGTGTATTGGTGTGCTTTATAATATCCCATAAGTCCCATAGGTTCTGTTCACTTTACTTCATCCTTTGTTCTTTTTACTCCTCACAATCAATATTTAAGTGACCTGTCTTCAAGTTTGCCTGTCTGTTCTTTTTTTCAGCCTGTTCAAATCTTCCGTTGTTCCCCTCCAGTGAATTTTTCAATTCCGTTATTGTATTTTTTTCAGCTCCACAATTTACATTTTGTTATTTTTAAGATTTCTATTTCTTTGTTGCTATTCTTATTGTGTTCATATATTGTTTTCATGATTTTTAGTTTTCTTTGTGTTGTCCTTTAAATCTTTCATCATATTTAATACCGTTGTCTTAAAATCATTGATTAGTTAAGTCCAAAGCTTGTATGTCTTTAGGGTCAATTTCTGGAGATTTATTTATTTTTTGGAGGGACCATCTTTCCCTGTTTCTTTGTATGCTTTATGCTTTTTGTTGAAAATTGCAAACTTAAACAACAGCCACCTCTCCTAATCTTTGTAGATTGCCTCTATACAGAATAAGACTTTTACTATTCAGCCCAGTGTGAAAGCATAAAGTCTTCTGAAATCTTTTCTGCGTATGCATTTTTTCAGATGTGTGTATATGTGCATGTGCTTTTTTCCCAATTCCCCCATATACATGGCTGCTTTTAAATATCTTAATTTCCCTAAGGAGTTTCACCCCTGCTTCTTCTTGCAGGCTTAGAAGTTCTACTGTATTCCTCTTTCCATAATCTCTTGCACTTAGGTGCCCACAGGTATGTAGTCCCCTGTATTTTTCTCACACCACAGTGCCCATCACTGTTTTTAGTAGCCTCCAACCTGATGTCCAAACTATGCCTTCATTTCCATCTGAGCTCTGACTCAAGCTTCTCTCATGAAGCTCCCATAAAGGCCAAAATATTGCAAAAAAAAGTCTCAGTTGTTTTCTTCTGTCCTCAGAGAGGAGACAGGAATCAGGCATTTTTTCCCTAGCCATGATACACCAGAGATGAGATGAGGCAAGGGTGAGCAAAAACACAGTGAAATTTCTTACCATTTTGAGTGTGGCTTTTTCTTGATTGGACATTCACTTGGTTGTTCCAAGTCCTTAATTAGCTTCTGGGTCTCCCACAAAGATATTTCAGTAAGTCATTTGTTGTTCACTTGGTGTTTTCATGAGAAATAAGGGCCTATTCAATGCAACTCACTACTGGATATACTTCTGTAAATATACTATGCTATTTTCATAGTAAATAATGTCATTTTCTCTCTAAGTAATGGAACTATGCCTTCAGAGATGCTATTATTGCCATTGAAATAAATAGCTGATGATACAGAATTGAAAAAATAGAAAAAATGGCATGGTTCTTATTAAACTTCGGAGCAGAAAATAGGACCAGAAAAGTACATGAGGAATAAATGTAAGTAAATTTGACATTATAAGGTGAACTTCTCCATACCTGCTAAAAGGCTATTAGAAAATTCTAGGCTTGACATTAGATAATCTATAAAATGCCTTTTTTTTCAGGGGATGGGTTGGGGGAAGTAGTACAAAATCTAATTTCTAACCTAAAGTTGGTAGGTAAAGTTAAATTTTCCTAGTAATATTTACATTTGCTCTACTGTTTAAATTGGCTTTCAGAACTTTCTTACAATTTTCTGAGAAATACCCACTTATAAATAGAACATCCCTGTTCAAAGTAGAAAAGCAATTTTCCCACACTTAGGTTTTTTTAATGTGGGAAACAGACTAGCCTAGATGTTCACTTTTGTTTTATTGGCCAGTTTGCCTATTGCTATGCCAATACCATATTGACTTAATTTCTATATCTTTATCTTTTATACATTCTTTCTACATTCATATAGTTCTGATATCTGCCCTTCAAAATTGTGTTGGATCTTCTTGCACTTGCCTTTTCATATTATTTTAGGGATGGGTTCCATAGGAAAATTGTATTGGAATTTGCTTAAAATTGCATCATAAATATAGGTTAATTTGGAACCATATCAAATGGTTTTAAAATTAAGTTTTCCTATCCATTAATATCTTTTCTCCATTTACTTAGGTAATCTTTAATGTTCTTAGAAGATATTATGCAATTTTCTACAGAAAAGTCATTTAAAAACGTTTGTGGAATTTTTTCCATAAGTACCTTATATTTTTCCTACATTTAAAAATGTTTGCAATTTTTTTTCCTGTAGGTACCTTATATTTTTCCTACTATTATAAATGCTATATTTTATAAAAATTAAGTATTCTAACTTGTTTTATAGACTATAAGAGCACAATTGACTTTGAAGAATTGATCATAAATGTTAATTAGTTCTTTTAGGTTTTCTATTCTGTTAAACAATCTACAAATAATGACCTCTAGGGAGATTGGCCTGTAATTTTTATTTCTTATACTATCCATTTTTGGTTTTGGTATCAGTTATATTAGCTTTATAAAATAAACTGAGGGGTGTTCCCTTTTTAATAATTCCTTAGAAGAATTTAAATAAGTCTAAATTTTGGATAGAATTCACTATGAAACTATTCTTTGTGTATGCATAGGAGAGAGAGTAAGATAAAGAGGGAAGAAGAAGGACAGGAATATATAATTTTGATTTAATTTATTTAATGGCTACAGGGAAATTTATGTTTTTATAAGAATAACAGCTTTATTGAGCTATTATTTATATACCATAGTTTATTCATTTAAATTGTACAGCTTAGTAGTTTTTAATTTATTTGCTGAGTTGCCCATTTGTAATTATGTTATTTGTCTTTTTATTGTTGAATTGTTAGAGTTATTTATATATTCTGTATATAAGACCCTTATCAGATATATGATTTATAAGTATTTTCTCTTATTCTGTGGATTATCTTTTCACTTGTTTAGTGGTGTCCTTTGAAGCACCAAAGTTTTTCCTTTTGACAAAGTCCAACTTATATATTTTTGCTTTTGTCACTTGTGCTTGTGACATTATATCTAAGAAACCATTGCCTAATCCAATTTCAGAAATATTCACTCCTGTGTTTTTTTCCTAAGAATTTTATCATTTTAGCCCTTACATTTAGGTTTTGGCTACATTTTGAATTAATTTTTATATATAATATGAGTTCAACTTTATTCTTTTGCACATGGCTATCCATTTGTCCCAGCAGTATTTGCTGAAGAATATTATTTCCTTCACTGAATTGCCTTGGCACTCTTGTCATAATAAATTGATCATAAATGTAAGAATTTATTTCTGGGACCCTTAATTCTTAATACATCCTTAATGTCTCTTTCACATGTCTATCTTTATGCCAATGCTACACTCTCTTGATTGCTATAACTTTGTAGTAGATTTTGAAATCAGAAAGTATGAGTCCTCCAACTTTGTTCTTTTACAAGATTATTTTGGCTATTCTTGATCCCTAGCATTTCCATATGAATTTTAGAATCAACTTGTCAAATTCTGGGAGAAAAAAATGCCAGCTTGGATTTTAATAGCCCAGGCTGGTAGTGGGAAGAGGTGGAGGGAGTGGCTAGATTCTGGTTGTATTTTGAAGATAGAATTAACAGGATTTTGCTAATAGACTGTATATTGGTTAGGAGAAAGAAAGAAGAGTCAAGGATGATTCCAGGTTTTTCTGGTTTCGGCAACTGAAAGAATAGAGTTTTCTTTAATAAAGAATGTTGTTGAAGAAGTCAGATATCAGTTCATATAATATATTTTTTAGAAGGCCTTTGAAAGAAATTTATTTTGAGTCTTAGTATTTGGAAATAGTTTTACTTCTCCCAAGAAGTTGCTTTGTTTGTATATTTGTTTGTATCTAACGGAACTGCAAGTTATGTGACTGGTTGCATTGGCTGCTAGAAAATGCAGAACCACATTTGTGTCCCTTGTAGCAAATAGATATCTAAAATGTGTGTGTGTTTTTTTTATTGACTTCATTCACATTTGGCCTTGTTTTTATCTTTTTCACTACTTCTAATTTGTTCTCTTATATGTTATATATTTTTATATACCTCCTTGAAACATTTTTAAGAACCAGCAGGGTTTCAATAAATAAAAATAAATTGTTTGCATTATATACCACCAAAAATAAAATGGGGGGTAGTATTAATTTTCAAACACTAAGTTAAAGTTAAAAGTTAATTTAGATAGAGTCTTGTAGACTATTGTTAGGACTTGAGCTTTTTCTGAGTGAAGGGGGTACCATTGCAGAGTTTCAAGTATAAGAGGGGCATGATTTGGCTTGCATTTTAAAAGGAATTACTCTGGCTAATATGCACAACACTCAAAGGAGGTGACAATTATTTCTGCAATTTTAGATATATTACAGCTAATACTGATACAGAAGAACGGAATTTTCCAGTCTCTAAATCATTTAACGTACATGTAGAAGAATTAAAGTTAGATGCCCTTCTTCAGAAGGCAGATCATTTACGTATGGATGAATCTGGCAAGTTGGAGAGTTTTGAACTACTTTGTGACCACAAAGAAAAGGTAAGAGATAGGTGACAATAACATTTCATGTAGCTTTAAGTTTTGATTTAATATATCATCTTATTCACATTATGACCATAATAATGATGTCACAGTTCATACAAGCTGAATAATTGGTACAAAATTACTTTATAAAATGACTAAAAATTTTAAAAGTAATTATGAGAGTTTATTAGACTCTAGGGTCATAAAAGTGAGAATCAGAGCTATAATTACACTGATTTACTTTTGTTTGATTGTTACTAGTTTGTATATTTAATAAATATTTTATAACAGATAAAGAATGAGACAGTATGCCAAAGCATATAGTACTACTTCTCTGGGGAGAGGAAAAACTACATTTTAAATTTTCCATCTAGTTATCAGTATAACAGCTATCGGTGTTTAAAGCTGTTTCTGTCAATAGTCATTTGGTCATATTCATATCCTGAATTGGAAAAGCCCATTCCTCTCGCCACCGCCACTGGGGGGAAAAAAGAGTTTGCAACATCTGAGGATTTAGCAACTCAAAACACATTTAAACACATTGTCTAAAACTTATCTCATCTCCAGGAATACAGTTATCAGTAATTTAGGTAAAAAATGTGACAGCTCTTTTGAGTATATGCAATTCAGTTTACAGATATTATCCGAAATGCTCACTGAACTATTATATTGATAGTAGATAACTTAGAAAGAAAAAGAAGAGGATACCACAGCCCAGAGAAAATATATAGATTCTGGCATCTGTCCATTCTCTCCTCTGCATAGGCGATAGAAGGAGCTAGTGTTTGGATAATATGAACTCGTTTTAAGGTCCAAGTGTAACACTATATTAGGTCACATTTCTTAGCCATGAATATTTGGATCTAAAATGTTTCATACTTAAATATGTATATACATAGATTCCATCATCTATGAATATCAATTTACCTGCCTGAGTGTTTCCAAGTTTCAGTAGAAAATAATTATAGTCTAAATAAGTTACTGAGTTAATCTAATGTGCAATTTTCTCTTTTCTTTTCAGTTTAGAGATGAAATAGAGTTTATGTGGCGGTTTGCTCGTGCTTATGGAGACATGTATGAGCTATCTACAAATACACAAGAAAAGAAACATTATGCTAATATTGGTAAGTATTTTGTAAAGATTGATTACTCTTAAGTGGCTATTAGGATCTACAATAAACACTAGTGAATTTTAATTAAAGCTAAATTATCTTAGCTAAAACCAATATGGTTAATATATTTCATATATCCTGATACCAAAAAAAAAAAAATCACAATCTCAGAACAGAAAAGTATTTTTTTTTTTTTTTTTTTGAGACAGAGTCTCGCTTTGTTGCCCAGGCTAGAGTGAGTGCCGTGGCGTCAGCCTAGCTCACAGCAACCTCAAACTCCTGGGCTCGAGTGATCCTTCTGCCTCAGCCTCCCGGGTAGCTGGGACTACAGGCATGCGCCACCATGCCCGGCTAATTTTTTATATATATATATCAGTTGGCCAATTAATTTCTTTCTATTTTATAGTAGAGACGGGGTCTCGCTCTTGCTCAGGCTGGTTTCGAACTCCTGACCTTGAGCAATCCGCCCGCCTTGGCCTCCCAAGAGCTAGGATTACAGGCGTGAGCCACAGCGCCCGGCCCAGAAAAGTATTTTTAAGACTAAAGTATATATTCTTTAAAAATATTTGAGTATATTAGAATAGGCAACTGAAAAAACTCAAATTTCATTTTTTAAGTTTATAGAATCATAGAAAGATAAGACATTAAGTGGTAGTGTTTAAGAAACAATAATAGGTGGAGGACAATTATCTTCAGCTGTAGTCTACTATAATTAAAATTATACACCTTACTCCAGGTACTGCAAAGAAATAAACCCTCAGACTTCAGTTTATATGTTTTTTTCAAAATGTATCTTGATGAAACAAGATTAACCTTGAGTTGATCATTGTTTAAACTGAATGATGTGTATATGGTGGTTCATGGTACCATCACCTATATTTTTTTGTATATTTTTGAAATTTTTATAACAACAGCAGAATAGCCAGAATGTCAAAGTATTGGTGTTGTTTCTTTTTATATCTCACCTTGCCTTTCAGTGGATTTCAAAGGGCTTTCTTGTAAAAGCCCCTGCCATCCTTCTGAACTGACATCAAAAACCTTTTAATTCTTTGTTTATATTCCAAAGTCTTCTCTTTTTCAGGGTTTTATTCTCTACGATAGTGTGAGGAAGAAACAGTAAGAAAGATCTCATCCTGGTTTAGTGCCCTGTCATTTTTATTTCTAAGAAGGAAGTATTACCAAAGTCCTTGTAATTATATTTCTTCCACTTGGAAATTTCTTTTCTGAATGACCTTTGCACTTTCATTTTCCTCCAGTGGGTTCTTTACATATTCATCATCAGGTTTGTGGGGTGGTTTTTCTGTAGCAATCCAGTTTGCAGACCATGTACAAAATAGAATCCTAGAGAAGAGATTTATTAACTTCAAGGTAAATGAAAATTTAATGAAAAAGAACAAAGGGATTTATTTTCATATCTACTGAGAAAATCAAAGTGTATCTATGTAAACTGTTCTAACATTCATCAATATTAAACACATTTCTTTCATAAACCCACCCTGGGTATTATGCTGGCAGGTAGGGATAAGATAGCAAAATAGACATGTTCTTAGGCTGCTTATGGCATTGTGGGGGAGGCAGTATTATTCAAATAATCATACGTATAAAGAGACAAATTAAAATAAGCTGTTATTGAAGAAAAGTGCAGGGTGTCAAGAGAGTGTATAACAGAAAGAAGGATGTGATAGCAGAGAATGGAGGTTGATGCAGGGAAGTCTTTCTTATGGAAGTAACAGTTTTCCATAGGTAAAATCACTTTAGATCTCTATTTTTAAGTGGAATGGGAGTTTCGTTGAGTTACTGTATGCAATGGTGAAATTCGAAAATAAAAAAATAGTTTGGAGGAAATTCAAGAACAAGGATGGAACATGGGATTAAAATAGGATATATCCCCCAAAAAGAGAAAAGTTTTTTATGCCAAAGAAAAAGGAGTAAAGCCTCAGATGTGTTCACTCAGATATTAAAATAGATTAAAAAGGAGGCCTCTTATTTATCCATTAAAGAAATATTTATTCAAAATTACTATGTCCAAGAATAATGTTAAAGTGAGGGGTGGAGGGAAGGAGAGGAGGGAGAGAGGGAGGAACATGAATATGACTAAGATGGTCCCGTACTAAGGAACTTACTCTAAGGAAAAGATCAATAAAGAGGCAGCCAGTATAATTCAGTGCATAGGGATTAAGTGCTTAGGAATGGTAATGGCCAAGTACACTGGAGCTGAGAGCAAGGCGAGGACTCAGACTAGCCGTTAAGAATGTTGGAATTCAGCATGAGTAAGAAAGAAGTGCACAAAGTTTTAGTATGTTTGAAACTGTTATGCTAAGGACAAATTTGATCACTGGAGAGAGCAGAATTCTTTCATAAAACTCTAAGTGAATGCACCATTATGCAATGTATTTTTGAAATACTATGATCATAATTTGTATTCCAAATAAAATGTGAATCTTATATTTAAAGGAACATTATTATAGTTTTCATAATTAACTGATTGACATGAATGCCTCAGAAAGATCACACAATACAATTCTCTATGGGAAATAGCTTTCCTTTTGGTCTTCAGCCGCATAGATGAGGCTGCAAAACCAGTTTGTATACTACTCAACTTCCTTTTATATTCTCAGTGATACAATCACCTCAATAAGGCCTGCCATCATGCACTGAAAGTTTTATTCATTTGACGATGTAGCTAAATTATTGATTTAGTTTTTCATGGTTTTACATTAAACAGTATGTTTTTAATCATTCATTTAAAAATTACTAATATTTGTTTATAATGTAATATCAGTTATTATTAAAATACTTTTTAAATTCTTTCCAATTTATATAGATTTCTATATGGGATGGTTCCCTTAATGGATAGAGCTATAGAGTGTCAATTTAACAAATTAACAAATAGGAGAATGGTTTTAGAATAGAAGATCCTTATTTATAAATATTATCTCAACTATTTATTTAGAAAGGCATTTTGCATCTCATTGGACGGTCTCTTCAAGACAATAATAATAAAAATAATAATGAAGCAGGGAAGAAAGAAGAAGGTATAAAACAAAATGACCCCTTTTGAGAGTCTCAGAATGCAGTTCTGTTTTGTTGCAAGCATTTTGATTTGTCAAGCCATTAGACAAGCCTCTATCCAAATTTATTATGTTGTTACAAATTGTTCTAAAACTAAGTAGAATAATCTGGAAGAATTATTTATGTCACTGAGGCTATTCATTATCGTGAATGATTAGGCAAGAACTTCTTAAGGAAGCCTTGTCTCACTCTTTTAGACAGAGATACCCACCCTGCTGTGTACTCTGTGTACCCTGCTCTTATTCTTTGCATGTGATTTGTTTATATACCTGCAGCCCACTGAGCTGTGAACACTTGGAAGGCAAGAACTGTGTCTTATTTGACATTTTATTCCCAGATTTTCACACAGAGTGGCACTCAGTAGAAACACAGGAAATGTTGTTTGAATGGATTACGAAAAACAATTTCTATGTTTTTAAGTAATGATTAAATGACTTTTCTTGCACTTAGTTAAATCAGTTAGTCCAGTGGGTGTCAAAACTGAGCATACATCGGAATCATTAGAACACTGATTGCTGGCCCTACCCCCAGAATTTGTGACTGAGTTTGTGGCTGAAAAGTTGCTTTTGTAACAAGTTTCCAAGTGATGTTGATGCATTTGGTCTTGGGACTGTAACTTGGGAACCACTGAGTTAATTCAATAATACACTTCCTACCAACTCATATCAAAGTGCTAAGTATAAGTTCTTTTATATTTCAGGAAAAACTTTAGGTGAAAGAGCTATTACTAGAGCACCCATGAATGGACACTGTCATCTGTGGTGAGTATATAGGATTTAAACAGTCTTTTAAATTCTAGTATGCCTCTTTATAAATTAAAATGGATTTTTCAAAGTATTGTTGACCCAGATATATATAGTTGATAGTACAGAAACTGTTCTTGGTTTTGTTTGTTCACATATTTCATTGAAAATTTCATCATTGTTTTTGGTTTTTTTGGAGACAGGATCTCACTTTGTTGCTGGGGCTAGAGTGCAGTGGTGTCATCATAATTCATTGCAACCTCAAGCTCCTGGGCTCAAGCGATCCTCCCAGTGGAGCTGGGACTACAGGCCCATTCCACCTCACCTAGCTAATTTTTTATAGTTTTTGTTGAGAGGGGGCCTTGCTCTGTTGCTCAGGCTGGTCTTGAACTCCTGGCTTCAAGCAATCCTCCTGCCTCAGCCTCCCAAAGTACTAGAATTATAGGTATGAGCCACCATGCCTGGCTGAAAATTTCATAAATTAATCTAAGATGTTGAATGATAATTAAATATAGTTTAATATAACCTTTTATTTGAAAATAAATATTAAAATGATGCCATGTTTCTAACTGAAAGATGGAAAGAATGCTTCAAAGAATAAAGGCACATCAGCCATGTCTTATAATTTGATGAGTCGTGCTGTATAAATTCCATAGGTCAGGAGCAGCCAATTATAATATTAAGGGGACTTAATTAGTTGGATGAGCATAGGTAAATATCCTTGGGGCAAAAAAAATTAATCTTGATTATGGTTGTGTTTTGGACCTTTTGTATATTTATATAAATGTTATTTTATAAATAGAAATTATAAAACACAAATAAGAATATATTGTTTTTAGTGAATATCATTCCTTTTACTTATAGTTGCATTTACACAAAATTTTTTTGGTTCCTTAGGTTTTGTTTTTTTTTTCTTCCCAGCAATGCATGTACCTTACATGTTAGGAAGATAAAGTAATAAATACGCAGTCATTTCCTGAGCGTATGTTTCCAGAAATCTACCCCTCTTTGGGGTTATTTTATTCCCCATAGAGGTACTTTTAGGTAAAGTCTCCCTCAAAATGGCTCCCTTTCCACAGGTCCACATTTGTCTCACAGGGAAGTCATTTTTGTCCCACCCAAATCCAAAGTACAAAACCATTTTCCCAAAGCAGACCTGTTTCTTCACTCTGCCCTCAGCAGGGGGAGCTCTACTCACAAACCCACTTAAAACTTCCCTTGGGCAGGAATCAGCTAACGTTTTATGTATCTCCAAACTGTAAGGGACATATGCCAAAATATGAGTAGTCTTTTGAAGCTGCTCTGAGAGGAGCAGGTAAGATCCTGGTACAGATTTTTAAGATCACTTCTCTAATATATAAGGGTCTTGACTATTATTTCTATAGCCAGGTTTACCTAGATCATCTAATTAATTAATACATAATGCTAATACTAATAAGTTAACATATGTATGCGTTAAAGTGTGTCTGTTCTTCCACTACTACTAAAAGTAACTGTAACGAATTTGTGCTGACCAAGCCACACTCTCTCTATCTCCTTTGATATTGGAGGTGTTTGGGAGCTGGTTAGCCCTCTGAGGATACAGAAAGACCACCCAAGTCCTGCTCTGAACCCTGAGCTCCCTCTTCTCCTCTCCCTCCCCTCTTTCTCCTCCTCGGTTATTCTCTCTGTGCTATCCTATTTCTTCTCCCCTACGTGTATCTGTACCCATGAAGAATCACATTTAAAATGTACATTTCACATTAATCCTCAATTTGAGGACATTCATCAGTGTGGGTTTCCAAATTTTCATAGAGGAACAATGTTGAAATTTCTTTGAGGGCTTCATAAGCACCTTGAGCTATATCTTGTGAGGCTAGATTATATAGAACTCCTCCTTAGTGGGTTCCCCAGTCTGTCCTCAACTAATCTGGCCACTTCTCCTGTGTTCCTCTTTTTTTCATTTTTTGTTGTGAACTAATTGCCTTGTTTATACCCATAGGATTTAACCCCAAGATTAAATCTTATCAAAATATACACAGAATAATGATCCAGTTGTCTTTCACATGATTTCTTATTCAATATCAATTTTTAATTTAAAAAATATTAAAATTTAATCCGTTGATAAAAATTTAATAAATTTAAATGTCAATTTAATCTTAATTCTTAGACTGTATTTTTTCCTACTGAATGCAAAAGTTCCATTCAATTAAATAGTAGAGGTTTAAGGTGATTAAAAATAAAAAGAGAAATTTAGACTTTGACTTGAGAAACAATGGGTGAGATTTAGGTGAACTGATTCCATCACTAACTAATAAAATGTTAAGAAAAGATCTTATTCTGCTGGAATCTTTTTCAATATATTAAGATTGAACTAAGATTGAATTTATTAGTATGTTAATAAAACATTTCCTTATTCATTTAGTATGAATGACAAACTATAGCCTGCAGATTAAGTTTGACTGCCTGTTTTTGTAAATAAAGTTTTATTGGGGCACAGCCATACCCATGCATTTGTGCACAGCAACAGAATTGAGTAGTTGCAAAAGAGACTGGCCCCAAAGCCTAAAATGTTTACCATCTGGCCCTACAGCTAAAGTTTGCAGATGTGTGGTTTACGGTGTATATGATGAGCCTTCAGTTTAAAAAAAAAGATGTGATCTTTAAGGATAATTTTACATAGAGGTTAATATTTTGGAATGATGGAAAAAACACCTCTCACTTTGAAGACTTAGTTTTATCTTCATCTTTTCCAAAATGAAATAGCTTTGTATCTTTATGGCCACATAGGCTTTCTATAAGATTCTGTTGTTTTTGTCATGATGGCCAAAAATACATCTAGAATGAAGAGAATAAAGTCATCAATGGATTTGTAGTTTGTTCGCCAAAAAGGCCTGATCTTAATTGTAAGTAATGTCTTACATATTTGTTGTGCTCTACTGTTTGCAAATTATATCCACATGCCTTACAGCATGTGAGTCACAGAACAGCATGTTTTCATTTTATAGATGGGGTGAGCAAGGCACGGTATGTGTGTGTGTGTGTTTGTGTGTGTATATGTGTGTTGGTTAATAATCAGGGCCACACAATAAGTGTAAAAACAGAAATTAGAACCCAGATTCTGTATTCTTAAATGCTCAGTCTTTTTTGTAGTATAGTATTCTACCTTTACTTTCTCTTAGTATAAATAGCATTGATGCTGAATCAGAAATACTACAGGGAAATTAATGGAGTTTTTTAGTAGTGGTTGAAACAATATTATTGTCAATTATTAAGGATATACTCAATGGCAATCCAAAGAAACTAGTGTTCTTGTCAGTTATGTAGTTAGAACGACCTCTAGATGGAGTTAATATACCATATTGTGAACTAGCTTTCTTCAGAGTTCCTGTCAACCTGAGAGTTTGAGGAATAAAACGTTAAATTATTTTTTTAATTAACAATATAAAAAATAACATACACACACTCACACACATACACACACACACAGATAGAATTGACTAAAAGAAAAGAAGAGATGAACCTTTGGGAGATAGTGGCCAGGTAAGCTTTGAGTTATGTAAGAAGATAAATAGTATTTTAGACTTTAAAGAAGCAGATTTCAAAAAGATTATGAAAATGTAAGATTCTAGTGACAGATTACTTAAAAGGGAACATATACATATTTCATATAATGATATTTATAAATCATGTATTTTCTTCTTTTTTCCCCCTTTACTCAGAGTAACTTGGAGACATTGTGTTGAAAGAGCAAAATAAAAGCCTAGAGCTGTGCATAAGTAGTTCCAATTTTCAGAAAATAGAAGACTGACTCCACCACTGTAGACCAGTGAACATAGCATCTATTTCTTTGATTCCAGAGAGAAACACAAAGAGTTAGTTGGGTTGTTTTGTGAGTCTCTAGATGAGAAAGTAACTTCAAGTAGACCCAACTTAGAGTTTTCTAAAAATATGACATGATCTGTTTTTTATTTCCTTGCTAGTACAGTATAGAAATTAGCCTAATATATCTGGATTTAGGCAAGGCATTGAGGCAAGTTCACTCATAATATTCTTTGGACAAGATGTAGAAATGTGAGCAAGCTGCTGGGCTACCCACGCTGACCAAGATTTTGAGCCTCAGTCATTCAACAGATCACTGTCATTCTGGGGGTGATTCTAGGGCCAGGTCTATAACTGAGATCCCAGTGCATTCAGTAATTTTGTCAGTGGATAAAGGTATAGGAGGTATGCTTATAAAAGTTACAGATAACATAAAATTAGAAGTAACACGGTATATGATGGATGACGATAGTAATTCAAAAGATTTTAATATGTTGAAAAGATACCTAACAAGGTGTGAATTAATAGAAATAAATATGGAGGGGAAGGATGGAGAGAAAGGTGTCAAAAGTGACTAAGGACATTAGGGGAAACAGATGGAAATCTGAATAAATTGCTGAGCTTGGTTAATAATATTGTATTAATATGGTTCATTATGAGAACTGTTTATCAATATTGATACAATTATGACAAATGTACTGCAATAATGTAAGATGTAAACAATAGGGAAAACTAGGTGTGGGATATATGGGAACTGTCTCTACTATCATAACATTTTTGTAAATCTAAAGCTATCTAAAAAAATGTATTTAAATAGAAAGTGGCCCAAGATTTTAAGATCAAATAAATTGGAAAATGATAATGCCCACAACAAAAATAGGGAGTTTGGAGAGGTATTTGTGTGGCATTTTGGAAGAATTGGAATTGCTCTCCCATCTGGAATTCTTTGGGAAGAATGATAGAACAGAATGGCAGAGAGTGTTTCAAAAGAACATGGTAAATAGACTATTTGAATAGGCCTGTATATGTTAAAGAAATAGAATAAATAATTAATAACCTTCCAAAATAGAAAGCACCATGCCCAGATGAGTCCACCGGTAAATTCTACCAAATATTTAAGGAAGAAATTATCCCAATACTCTATAATCTCTTCCAGAAGATAGAAGAAAAGGCTATATGTCCAATTCATTCTGTGAGGCCAGCATTACCCTAATACCAAAACCAAATAAACACATTATAAGAAAAGAAAACTACAAACCAGCATCTCTCATGAAACTTATTTCCCACCATTGAGAAACTAAGATCAGGAACAAGACCAGGATGTCCCTTCTCACTACTGCTTTTCAACATCATCCTAGAAGTTATAGCTAATGCAGTAAGAAAAGAAAAGTTTTGCAAATCAGGAGGGAAGAAATAAAACTGTCTTTGTTTGCAGATAACATGACTGTCTCTGTAGAAAATTCAAAACAAATCAACAAAAAAACTTTTAGAATTAAGCAATTATAGCAAGGTTGCAGTATACACAATTAATGTATAAAAGTCAATCACTCTGTTATATACCAGCAATGAAGAAGTGGAGTTTGAAATTAAAAACACATTACTGTTTACATTAGCACCCCCAAAATTGAAATGCACAGGTAAAAAAACTAATAAAATATTTATAAAATCTGTATGAGGAAAAGTACAAAACTCTGATGAAGGATGTCAAAGAAGAACTAAAGAAATGGAAAGATGGTCCATGTTTATGGATAAAGGGACTCAATATGGTCAAGATGTCAGTTTTTCCCAACTTGATCTGTAGATTCAATGCAATCTAAATCAAAATTCCAGCAATTATTTTGTGGATGTTGGCAAACTTAGTTCATACAGATAAGCAAAAGACCCAACTCAATATTGAAAGAGAAGAACACAGTTGGAGAACTGACACTACTTAACTTAAAAACTTACTATAAAGCTACAGTAATCAAGACAGTATGGTATTGGCAAAAGAATAAACAAGTGGACTGATGTTTGACAAGGAAGCAATGGCAATACAATGAAACAAAGTTAATCTTTTCAACAAATGGTGCTGGAACAACTGAACATCCACATGCAGAAAGAATGAATCTAAACACAGATCTTGTACCCTTCACAAAAATTAACTCAAAATGGATCATAGGCCTAAATGTAAAATGCAAAATTATAAAACTCCTGGAAGATAACAGAGGAGAAAACCTAGATGATTTCAGAGGTACTAGTGACTTTTTAAATATATCACCAAGGGTAGAATCTATAAAAGAAATAATTGATAAACTGGACTTCATTAAAATTTCTGTGAAAAACAATGTAAAGAGAATGAGAAGATAAGTCATAGACTGCAAGATACAAAATACGCATTTGATAAAGGACTGTTATATAAAATACAAAGAATGCTTTAAATTCAACAATAAGACAAAAACCAATACAGTGTAAAAATGGACAAAAGACCTGAACAAGACACCTCAGCAAGGAAGATATACAGATAGCAAGTAAGCATGTGGAAAGATGTTCAACATCATATGTCATTAGGGAATTGTAAATTAAAACAAGAGTGAGATACCACTATACACCTATTAGAATGGCCAAAATCCAGAACACTGACAACACCAAATGCTGACAAGGATATAGAGCAACAAGAACTCTTATTCTTTGCTGGTGGGAATGCAAAATGGTATATCCAGTTTGGAAGACAGTTTGGCAGTTTCTCACAAAACTAAATACACTCTTACCATAGGATCCAGCAATCACACTCCTTGGTGAATACCCAAAGGAGTTGAAAACCTATATCCATGTAAAACCTGTACATAAATGTTTTTAGCAGCTTTATAATTGCCAAAACTTGAAAGCAAGTGAGATGTCCTTCAGTAGGTGAATGGATAAATAAATTGTGGTACATCCAGACAATGGAATATTATTTAGCACTAAAAAAAATGAGCTGTCAAGTCATGAAAAAACATGAAGTAATCTTAAATGCATATTACTAAGTGAAGAAAGACAATCTAAAAAGGCTATGTACTGTATAATTCCAATTATATGACATTCTGCAAAAGGCCAAGCTATAAAGATGGTAAAAGGATTAGTGAGTGGTTGCCAAGGGCTGGGAGAAGGAAGGGATGAATAGACCCAGGACTTTTAGGAAGTGAAGCTATTCTGTAAGATACTACAATGATGGATACATGTCATTTTACACTTGCCCAAATCCATGTAATATGTATATCACCAAGTGTGAAACCTAATGTAAGCTATGGACTTTGGGTAACAATATGTGAAGGTAGGTTCATTGATTTTAACAAATGTACTACCGTGGTGTGGGATGTTAATTGTGGGGACAGGAGGTATATGGGAACTCTCTGAAAGTTACACTCATTTTTGCTGTGAACTTAAAAATGCTCTAAAAAATGAAGTTTGTCAACCAAAAAAAAAAAAAAAAAGTACATAGTGAGGTCTGAGGCCAACAGTGGCAGTTTTCACAAAGGCTCTCCAGAGTAGTTTTCCATTAATCTGCTTTTCTTAAAGGTGCAATCTCTAGAAAGGTTTGTATTGGATGTAGAGAATTATATGAAATTCAATCTGATCTTAGAATCTGTGAGTAGTAGTATATCCTAATTTAGTTAAGTTCTAAGATCATTTTTAATAGGTTGATATACTTGTTCATCTTGCTTTTCACTGTAGCAGATTCTGCTGAATACATGGAAACTAAAAATGAAGAGATAAAAGTAGCCATTTTATTGGTTGTGTACAGGTGGTGTGAATTATGTCATCTTTTGTGTCCAGGAATAGTCTTATTGTTCCAAATAAGAAAATTGTTCATTTCACTTTTGCACTTGGAAATTGTGATTATTCATAGAAATGATCAAGATAAATAATTTCCAGTAGTATATTTTTCATCTTAGTTATTATGACACTGCACATAAAAATTAACACCTACTCTTTAAATATTTAGGTAACTAGATAATTTGTCTCAGACAAAAACACTCTGAAATACTCTGAAGACTTTCTTTTCTTTTTCTTTCTTTCTTTTTTTTTTTTTTTTTTTTTTTTTTTTTTTTTGAGAGAGTCTTGCTGAGTCACCCAAGCTAGAGTGCCATGGTGTCACCTAGATTACAACAACCTCAAACTCCTGGGCTCAAGCAATGCTCCTGCCTCAGCCTCCTGAGTAGCTAGGACTACAGGCATGCACCACCACGCCCGGCTACTTTTTTCTATTTTTAATAGCAATAGGGTCTTATTCTTGCTTAGGCTGGTCTCAAACTCCTGAGCTCAAGGAATCCTCCTGCCTCAGGCTCCCAGAGCACTAGGATTACAGATGTGAGCCACCATGCCCAGCCTTTACTCTGAAGTCTTTCATATGGACAGAAACACTCTGAATGTGGAAAAGTCACATATCCTCAAAGTCACATATCCTCAATTTGTTCAGCAATGTTCAAACAAATTGCTGAACAAATATTGTATGCAATTTATAGTCAAATATTTTTGTAAATTTTGTATTCCTAGTGGAAAAAAGTAAATAATCCATGGGATGCACTATTCTGTTTTTCCAGAAAGGTTTGAGGGAGACAAGGAATTTTGTGAAAAAGCATATTCTAAAATTACCCTTAACTTTATTTGGTTTTAGTCATAATATTTATTTTTATTTTCAATGATATTCAGGGAGATCATGAATTTTTATTTTTATTTCTTAAGGAGGGAATGAGTTTTAAAAGCTTGGTCTTGATAATGTTTTTAAAATTATAAATGTATTGATGTGTTTTTCAATTTAATACTCATGCGATTAGACTTTCTTAGAGTTTTTTGACTTTGATGTTGATGATGACCATGATAGTGGCAAGTAACATTTATTGACACTCTCTACATGCCAGGCAATGTTGTAAGCACATTATCTGTTTTAGCTCATTTTACCCTTACAGCATACACAGAAGTATTGTCAGTATCTCCAGTTATAGGTGAGGGGACTGGCCTCATGTTAATCGCAAGTATTAATGTTTATTACTCTTAGGGCCCTTGTATCTATAAAAATATTTTTTCTAAATATTAATGAATGCTTTAGAGATTTTTGTAATGTTAGACTTTGGCAGTATTTGAATAAAAATTTATACAATAGCCACTGTTTCTATTCTTTTCAGGTATGCAATTTTGTGTGGCTATGTATCTGAGTTCGAGGGCTTACAAAACAAAGTCAACTATGGACATATCTTCAAGGTATTTCTTGACATTAAAACTGTTTACATGTAGCTATATGTTCCATTAACAGGTATAAATCAGATTATTCAACAATTTCAGCTCTAGGAATTTGTTATTTTTTTAAAAAACAGGAAATGAAGTGGCACACTTTAAATAGTACTGTGACAAAAAGAATCAAACTATTAATATTTGGGTAATTAAAGATTATTATTATTCAAGATCCTGAAAAATGTCACAGAGTAGATGAGTATTATTTTTCAAAGATAGAGGATTAGCCTTTTGGTCATGAGCTCACCGACATCATAAGTGTGACCGGGACTAAGTAGTTAACAATATCCACATGTTGACTTATTGGGGAAGTAGGATCCAATCTAGGGGCTTAAATTGACCATGATAGACAAACAAAATAAGTAATCCATATACACATAATTTCTTATTTGCCTCTGGTTATAATAGCTCAATAAATAATCCCTTGGGGTCAATAATTACAGGGACAACCAAACAGTTACCTGTAACCATTTTGATAATGCCAGAGGAATAGATTCCTCTCCCATCTAGTTCTGCTATTTTTTCTTACATTATACCCTATTCCATGTCATTTGATATCTGGAAGCTCATTTCTGATTCAGTATCGGCTAGTTAAGTCATGGGCAGAAAAGCATTTGCCTTTGGTGTCTTCTATTTTTATTGCAACATTTTGGCTTTACATTATACATAACCTTGTTAAATCATAGTCATAGTTCTGGTTGTGGTTTCAAGCAATCATTTTTGATAATTGAATTATTGATAATAATAATTGTATTGTATTAATGATAAGCATGGGATGGAGACTGAGACAACATTAAAAACTGTTTTAGAGTTTACTAGGCATTGGCATAGTTCCATTCGACGACATCTGAAACTTGGGAGATGACTTTTCCTTTGTATGTTTCTTTCAGGATCATCTAGATAAAGCAATCCAACTTTTGCCTGAAGAATCTTTTTTGTATTACCTCAAGGGAAGATATTGTTATACTGTAAGTTGAATGCCCTTATTTATAAATCTTGTTTGCATATACTATGATTATGTGATACATTTTCAATGACTTATTTATGCTTTTATTTTTACCAAGTGCCCACTTTAGGGAGAATTATAATATCTGTATACATTTTATATGAATGTATAATATATACATTTTATACTTTTATATGAATTTATGGTTTATACATATTTTAAAAATTGTATATATACTTTATAATTTATACACTTATAACTCTATATATTATATGTGATATTTTATATATATATACATATATAATTTTTCTTTCCTCCCTTTCTATTTCCCCTTGGAGTGGTCATACTCCCTTTGTGGCTGTCCCAGGTTGCCATTAAAGGAAGTGCTATTTGTGAATGAGAAAAGAGATAATTTTTTCATTGAGGCAGAAAGACAATTGGATATGAAGAAGGGAATTTGTTTTTATTGAACACCTGCTATATGTCAAATTGCCAAATGTGCATTATATACTTTGTATTTCTTGTTGCATTTAATCCCTAAAATAGTCCTATGAAGCAGTTATTATTATGCCAGTTGTTTTGTTTTATTTTGTGATACCCAGTAGTGGGATTGCTGGATTGATTGGTAGATCTACTTTTAGCTCTTGGAAAAATGTCCATATTGATCTCAATAGAAGTTGTACTAATTTACATTCCCCTCAACAGTCTATAAGCATTCCTTTTCACCACATCTGTGCCAACATCTATTGTGTTTTGAACTTTGAGTAATGGCCTCGTAGTATATATCTTTATTTCTGGGTTCCCTATTCTGTTTCATTGATGTATATGTCTGTTTTTATACAGTACCATGCTGTTTTGGTCACCGTTGCCTTGTAGTATAAAAGTAAGGTTATATGACACCTTCAGTTTTGTTCTTTTTGCTTAAAATTGGTTTCACTATTAGCTCTTTTTTGGTTCCGTTTGAATTTTAGGATTGTTTTTTCTAATTCTGTGAAAAATCATATTGGTATTTTTATAGGAATTGCATTGAATCTATAGATTGCTTTGAGCATATTGTCATTTTAATAATATTGATTCTTCCAGTTTATGAGCATGAGATGTCTTTCCATTTGTTTGTGTCACCTAGGATTTCTTTCATCAGTGTTGAATAAGGAGATTGATTGCAATACATAGTACATTGATTAAAATGCACTATGTATTGATTGTTGTGGTGGTTACAGAATTGTGTGCATTTATCAAAACTCACTGAACTATATACACCTCTAATGGATGAAATTTTATTTCATGTAAATTATACATCAATAAAACTAGTTTTAAGAATACATAATGACCAAGAAACATAGAAAGTAAACATGTGGAAAAATAATATCAAATAGTAAACTAAAAAAAGTAACCTAAATAAAATTATACACACACACACATACACAGAGTAGTCCCCCTCTTATCTATAGTTTTACTTTCTGCAGTTTCAGTTATCCATGGTCAACCATGATACAAAAATATTAAATAGAAAACTCTGGAAATAAATTACTTAGAAGTTTTAAATTGTACACCGTTCTGAGTAGTGTGATAAAAATTTCACATTGTCCTGCTTCATCCCACCCAGGTTGTGATTCATCCCTTTGTCTAGCATATCCATGCTGTATACTTAGTAACTATCTAGGTTATTATACTGAAAAAGCATCATATATATATCAGCTTTGGTACTATCTGTTGTTTCAGGCATCTGCTGGGGGTCTTGTAACATATAATCTATGGATAAGAGGGGGCTATTCTGTGTGTGTGTGTCTATACATACTCATACTCAAATGAGTCTATACATACTCATTTATACACATATATAAATGTATAAATTTTGAGGCAAAAGTATCTTAGAGACAAAGAGAGTAATTATATAATGATAAAAAGTTTGATTCGCTAGGAAAGTATTTATAAACTAGTGTGCTCCTAATAGTAGCCTCAAAACTATAAAATAAAAATGCACCAAAATATAAGGATAAATGTATAAATCCACCACATACTGGTAGATCTTCACTCACCTTTTTTGGTGATTAATAGAATAGGAGACCAAAAAAAGTATTAGTAAGCATGGAAAACATTGGAACCTCATATTAAATAAGCTTGATCTAATAAACAAATATGAAAACATGTACCTAATCACTGGCAAATATATACTTTCTTAAGCATATGTAGAATGTTTACTAAAATGGACCATATACAAGGCTATGAAGCAAGTCTTAATAAATTTCAAAGAGTTGCTATCATGCAATTTTCTGACCATAATGCAATTTGGTCAAATTGAAATTTTTTAAAAAACATAGAAAATGATACTAAAATCCCCAGGTAGATGTCATTTTATTCCTCCTCATTTAATAAAATTTTAAAATATTAGAATGAAGTGTTGCAAGGATATGGAGCAACAGATATTCTTACATTGTCGTGGAAACAAATCAGCATAACCACCTAGGAAGCAATTGAGTATTATCTTTTAGATTTGGTTACTTACCTGCCATATGATACACAGTGGTGCCTACCCTACAGAAACCCTTGCAAATGTGCTCCAGAAAGCGTGTACAGGAATGCCTCTAGCAGCCTTGTTCAGAAGAGCAAAAAAATAGAAAAGCCCCAAATGTCCATTGACAAAAGAGGGATAAAAGAATTGTTGATGTGGAAATGATGTGGGTGAGAGGGGGACAAGGGGATGGGTGAAATCATACCTAACAGGTACAGTGTCCACTATCTGGGTGATGGACACACTTACAACTTTGACTCAAGCAGGACAAAAGCAATTCATGTGACCAAAACATTTATATCCCATAATAGTCTGAAATTTAAAAAAAAAAAAAGAACTGTTGGTACGTTTAAATGATGGGATATTTTCAATGTTTTAAATGAGTGAACTTCAGTTATAGTCAATATGTTGTATGAAATCTTAAAACCATAATGTTAAGTGAAAAAAAAAAACAAGTCATACAAGGAAATAAACAATATGATATAATTTTTTACAAAGTTCAAAACAAAGCAAAAACAAGCATACCAATGAGTGAAGTATGTAGAGAAATAAGGAAACAATTAAAAAAAAAATAGAGGATAATGGCTACCTAGAAATCTAAAAGATGGGTCTGAGAAGGAAGATGCTTCCTGGGGTTGGGGAGAACATTAGCTACATCATTAAGTTTTAAGTATTCATTTCTGAGCCAGTCTAATCTTTTAGAATAAACATCTAATATTCATATTTGGATAAAAAATGAAAAATTTTAAAAAATAAATGGTAATGTGAAATTTAGTTTTGGTGGTTATTGGTTAAAATAATCTTCCGGATTGTAACTATGTATACTGGGCCCTCATTCTACACTCCCTTTGGGTTGAGGATCCTTGTTTTGTTTACATTTCTGAGATGCTGCTTCTGGGTCAGGAGGTTGGTTGGCAGCACAGAGCAGGCAGGAAGAGAGCAAAGGCAGTCTTTGTGGCTACTACATGCTGTTCAAAGAAATACTCTGTGGTCGTCTTAGAGTCTCAAATGAAATAAAGAAACAGGGTCGGCATTATTCCCCACCCCACCCCTTTTTCTTTGATTGGACACAGATTATATCAGGAGTATTTCGAATTGGTTCTGAAACCAGTGCTTCTAGAGCTCATGATTTCTTAAAATTATGAAAAGGAAGGCAAATATTAATATTAATACCAAAGGGTGATATCTCATATGTATTATTTATGGATATATATTTAATTTATATTAGTATATGTTCTATTTATATGCACATATTTACGTATACATACACACATACATCTAACTGGGGAAACATTATCCATTCAAAAGGTGAACAACTTTCTAAGTATGATGTTGCCCTGTATTTGCAGATATCAAAACTGAGCTGGATCGAAAAAAAAATGGCTGCTACTCTATTTGGAAAAGTACCATCTTCAACGGTACAAGAAGCTTTGCAAAATTTCCTTAAGGTACATTTTGTCAATCCATTATTTTAATGTCCAACCAGCTACCATCTCCACTAGTCCCTGGTACCCTTGTTATCAAGGAAATCTTTTGTCCATGAGAAGCCCCAGTTTGAATCCTATTAATACTTTTGGGTATTGGATGTTGTTTTAAGCCTCTTATAATGCAAGTTATATTTATTAGTTTGTTTTTAAGACAGAGTCTTGCTCTATCACCAGACTAGAGTGCAGTGGTGTCATCATAGCTCACTGCAACCTCAAACCCCTGGGCTCAAGAGATCCTCCCACCTCAGCCTCCTGAGTAGGTGGAACTACAGGTGTGCACCATGATGCCCTGCTAATTTTTCTATTTTTAGTAGACATGGGGTCTCGCTCTTGCTCAGGCTGGTTTAGAACTGACCTCAGCAATCCTCCCACTTCAGCCTCCCAGAGTGCTAGGATTACAGGTCACAAGTTATATTTTAAATGTAAACTTCTTAGAGCAGCTAACTATGCCCTAGGTCCTAGGAATAATAGTCAACTTTTAAACAATAACTCAGCAGCCTAAATTAAAGTTTAGGTATAGCAGCCCTTACTATAAAATCCAGGAGTAGCTTTCCAAGTCATGTGAGCACGTGCAGAAACAGTCATCCCCTGGTTATTAGACTTGGTCCCAATACTCCTGATTTACCTAATATAGAACTAGTTTAATCTTAAATAATTAAAAAATGCCAAAAGGAAGAGTTATCTTAAAAGCCCCCTCCTAAGTTGCAGACACGTCAATGGAAGATTTTTGGAGCATGAGAACAAATCACTATTTTCCTTCCTATCTTAAAATGTATAATTGCTGTACTAATACAACTCTGAGTAGTAATAAGTATGTAGGCACACATAAATGTATAATATATCCACCCATATAATCAACTTCCTCTTGGGCTAACCCCTTCACCATTCTCTGGAACCAGTTATAAAATCTTACAGTTACTAAATGTGTTTTCCTTTCCAGCCTACCTCGTTCAGGTTTATAAAAATACAGAGGAGATCAGCCTCTGAGCTATATTATCCAGCATCTTGTACATGCTAATATTTGTGTTGTATTTCAGGGATGGATTTTATAGACTGAGAGGGAATTTGGAAATCAAGTAGTCTAAAATGGAGAATAGATTTCCTCTCACTTTCCATCTCTAGCCTGTGGCCAGTGGCTACCTAGAGTGCTATATGAAAAAATAAGTGTTCTGAAATCAAGCACGAGCCCAACAGAAAAAAGTACAGGAAATAAAAGCACAAGAGTCATACGTTTTTTATTTTTTTTGTTTAACATGATCTTTTTTGTTTTTTAAAAAGTGAATTAATAGCTCAGGAACTTATTTAGTTTCACACAATGGCAATCAAAGATTTGATTTAAGATATGAGTGAAGTCTAAGACTGCATCATCCCCATTTCTTCACCTTTTTTCTACCACTGAGAATTAGATCTCTCATTTTAAATTTTATAAGAATATGGATCATGGTATATTTAAGATAAAATATCTCTATAAAAGGTGCCAAGTTAATTAGCAAAAATGTTATTTGAACTTGAAACTCATTTCCTCATAATGTCAAAGTTGTAATTGGGGATTAGGTTTTCAGAACATTACAAAAGTACCTGAAATAAAACACAGATAAAATCAAAAGTGGTAAATGGGCTGGTGGGGCAGCTTGTGCCAGTAATCCCAGCTACCCAGGAGGCTGAGGTGGGAAGATCACTTGAGGCCAGGAGTTTGAGACCAGCCTGGGCAACATAGCAAGACTATGTCTCAAAAAGAAAAAAGAAAAAAAATGGTAAGTGGCACAATAATGTAGAAGTAAAGAGTGAAAATTCTGGAACCAGACTTCCTGGTTAAATCTCAGTTCCATCACTTACCAGCTGACTAACTTGGACACGTTACTTAACCTCTCTCTATCAATTCAGTAAATAACATGCGGATAATAGTATCTACCTCATAGAGGTGTTATGAGGATTATATACATTAATACAAGTAAATTGCTTAGAGTGTGCCTACCACTCAGTAAGCCCCCAATAAAAACTCACAGAATTTTAACTTTGTTAAAACTTAAACATTTCCGCAGACCATCTTGGGGACTCCACCATTTGTTCATGACTTAGACTTCTGAATGAAAGTGTGTTCCCTGGAGTTTGTCAAAAGGGAGTGGGAAGGCATCCAGAATGCTCCTCCCGTATTTACTGCCACAGCTGAGGGTACCGAGGAGCCTCCCTGCGGAGGGTTAAGGCTGCGGAGGGACTAAGACATCCGGGAGGTGGAGGAGGGGACCTTGGATCCCACACCCTAGGAGGGACTACAACCCCCATCCCCACGGGAGGGAGGCCAAGTTGTTGGGACCCAGACTATAGGACTCCTGTCCCCAATCCCTCCCTCCCAGGGGCCAGGAATGTGCCTCCAGAGCCATCCAGTTGGGTCCCACAGAGGTCGAAAGCACTGGCTTTAGTGTCAGACAAATGAAGTTGAGACCTGAGCCTTTTCCTGTCTGAATGACCCGGACACATTTCTTTATTTCTCCTACTCTCAAATTCTTCATCTGTGCAGCGGACGTCATAATATTGATACCTACTCTGTACAGTTTTTGTGGAGATCACATTAAATAATACATGTAATTTTCTTGGCCCAGAGTCTAGTATGTCAAATGTCCTAACTAAAACTAAATGTTAGCTACTATTATGTTGCTCTTATATCACGGAAAATCTTGACCTCCACAGCCTCAAAGCATGCAGGGAGGTGATTTTAGACAACTTGTGTAGTCATCTGTGAATCGCCGGTAGGAATTCTTTCACACTGTAGCTGTGCTTACCACCTCATCCAGAATTCTGGCAGCATTCTCTATGGCAGCAGCTCTCAAACTTGGCTATACATTAGGATCGTCTGGGGAATTTTAAAAAATGTCAACCCAGGCCACAACCCAGACAAATTGTTTCGGAATCTCTGGCTATATTGAAATATAGTTCATAAGCAATAAATTATACCCATTTTAAGTGCATAGTTCAGTGAGGTTTGACAAATTTATATACCCATGTAACTGCCACCATTTTAAGATACAGAGCACTTTCATCACCCTAGAGAGTTATGTTTGCTCCCTTGCTATAAATTTTCCCCACCCCCTCCCCCAGGTAACAACTGGCCTGCTTTCTGTCACGTTAGCATAGTTTTGCCTATTCTAAAATTTTATGTAAGTGAAATCATATAGCTTGTACTTTTTTGTATATTTAGCTTCTTTGGCTCAACATAATGTTTTGAGATTCATTCATTTTATTGAGCATATCGGTAGTTCCTTTCCATTGCTGAGTAATAATCCATTATATGGATAGAACCACAATTTGTTTATGTGTTAACCTATTGATGGACATTTGAGTCGTTTCCAGTTTGAGGCTATTATTAATACAGATAAATCTTCTGTGAACATTCATATACAAGCTTTTGTGTGGACATATTTTTATTTCTCTTAGGGATTGTTGGGTCATATGGTATGTGTTTTTAAAACTTGATCAGTGTTTTTAAAAGCCTTGAGGCAATTCCAATGGCAGCCAATAGGATGGCTAGAAAACACTGGACCAGAAGATGGGTGTGTGTAGTTACATGATAAGTGTGGCAGTCTTAGGGTGCAGGCTGCCCTGATTGCACCCTCTGTTTGCAATTATATGATCCCTGATTCTCTATTAGTGGCTTCACCAGCTGTAGAGCTTTCTGCTGTGTCCTGATATGGTAGAAGGCTGCTGCTTGGGTTATGAAATGTTTTAAAGCAAAACTGATTTATTAAACAGTGTTTATTAAGCATATAACTAGTACCAAGCACAGTGTCAAATACTTAGAACACAGAAATGACCAAAACAGTTCTTGCCTTCAAGGAACTTGGATAGCCAAGACCAAGTGGTTATGTATAATATACTTTGCCAGCTGTAAGGATAAAGAATCTTCTAAGAGCCTCTCTAGAAACTGCTCCTTAATTAGAACATTATACTGACTCATGCTGCCCTCCTTGTAATTCACCCAAGACCTTTGGTAAAAGGTCAGAATCTGCTCCACTTTAGGAATTCAATGTTGTTAATAGCCTGTGTTCCTTTGGGCTTTATTTTTTTAACCATGAGAACAAGAAGAGGTGTTCTGATTTATAGTCACTTTAAGTTAATTAAGCATAGGTCTTAAGATATATATGCAGAGTTAAAATGCCAGTATTAAAGAAATAAGATGCTTATGTTCATGCACTGGGCCAAGTTATCCAGAGGGGATGTGGACAGAGCTGGAGTAACCATTGGACACAGAAGAAGGCATCACTGAGCAAAATTCAGTCTAAGTTCCTCTTATTAGGATGGCTGAAGAAATGCACTTACCAAACTAGAAATATTGAAATGGAAATGATTAGGCAAGAGAGAAGAAACAGGAGAACCAGAGCCCATCAGCACTGTGGATGGCTCTACAGTATGTTCAAGGCTCTGGCAAGGACAGAATGTGACAACTTCCTTTAATTGTTTGTGGCTTTACTGTCTCTCTAGCAGGTTCCACACCAGGTCTAGACACTGTTCACCTACTTGGTCTTAAAGAGTTCCACCCAGTCTGGCTCCCCACCCCAGGAGATTTTGTCCTACTCCTCCCAGAACCCTTACCTTTTGGATTCTGTAGAGATTAAAATGTCCTTTACAAAGGATGTGCTCTCTTAAGATGTTGAACCACTCCTCGGCACCTTAACTTGCATTTGCTTTAAAGTATCTCATTGCTTTGCAAGCTTTATGAGGATAGTAATCAATGTTATTTTAATGGCTAAATAATTGCAAAAGCCATGTCTCCACCCAAAAGATACTTAAATTGATAAAAATGATTCAAATGTGAAATAGCCAACCTAAATTCTTGGGGCAATTTGGTTGATAATATTTGATTTATTGAAATATATTCTCTTCCTTTGTGGTTATTGTTGTTGTAATATTGTCCCGTTACTCTCTTGTCTTTTCTCTTAAATCAGGCTGAAGAACTACATCCTGGTTATTCTAATTCCAATTACCTGTACTTGGCAAAGGTAATGAAGACCACTCTTTTAAGGTCACATCGACTCCATTACATAAAAATGTGATTACCTTTAATATGGGTTATTTTTTCACTTCCAGTGTTATACTGCTATTGAGGAAAAACAGAATGCTTTGAAGTTCTGTAATTTGGCATTATTACTTCCTTGTGTTACCAAAGAGGTAAGTCCAGACAGGGACAAGGAGTGCTATTGTCTGCTTAATACTATTCACGTTCAAAATATGAACAACTGGCTTAGATGCATATGGAGTTTTCTTTCTTTACTTTATTAGATTTTACTACTTAATTTATTTTTATTTTTCCAGATTTACTGAAGTATAATTGACAAATAAAGTTGTATATATGTAAGGTATACAACAGGATGTTTTGATACACCTATACATTGTGAAATGACTACCATAATCAAGTTTATTAACATATCCATCACCTTCTCTAAGCAGATTTCAAGCATACAGTACAGTATTATTAACTATAATCACATTGTTGTCCTTTACATCTCTGGAACTTATTCACCCTGTGTAACTAAAACTTTGTATCCTTGATCAAAATCTCCTCAATTCTCTTACCCATCTAGCCCCTGGCAACCACCATTCTGCTCTATGCTTCTGTGCTGGAGTTTTCTTTTATACTAAAACATTTTGACTTGGATTTTACATGTACTATAGAGTTTTAAAATGTGTTGTTATCTCTATAAGATAACCTATCACCAGGAAGCCCCTTGAATCTTTAAGGGACATGCACACCATGGGCTAGCAGCTAAAACCTCCTGATGCTTATTAGATATGAAACAGCAGAGAATGAGACAAGCCCCTGTGACGGAGGAGGAACAGAATAATTCTGGGGAGCTGCTGATTAAACTATGTAGGCAGCAAACAGGCTAGACAGGCTGCCTGGCTTAGACCAAGGCGAGGGTCTGGGGGGTCACCATTCTTAGTCCCCAGCTTATAGCAGGGTGTGGCTATCCAAGTTCATGAAAAAGATTCAAAGTATATATTAACATTGTATTGGTTTGGGGACTGCTGCTATTAATGCAAAAGAAACTATCACATTACCTCTCAACCTTATATGCAATAATTCAGGATTCTGGATCTGCTACAACTTTCAGGCATTCTGCAGAGTTAGTAACTCAGTCTGTGCTCCTGGGTGCCATTGTCTAGTATTGTGGGAATGAAAAGAAATTGGTCGATGTTTTCCTGCTCCCTTCTCACACCACCAAACGTTATCATCCTCTCAGTCATAATAGAAAGGAAATGCTTCATGAAAAGCACTCTTCTTTTTCTATATCAGAGCAGTATAGGCTCCAATATTAGTTGTGATCTGGAATACAAACAAATGCTACATGCCTGGCATATATCCAGATAGCTGCAGCTCCAGAGAGAAAGCATGAAGTGCTAAGAAAAGTACAGATACTTGGTTATGTAAATTTGGAAAAGGGAGAAATTGTTTTTACCCAGAAGAGGTCAGGTGGCATCAGAGGTGGACTTTGAAAGATCTATATAATGCGGATGTGTGGGCAAGTATATTGCAAGTTGTGAGCAGAGGCATAGAAGTGAGAAAGCGAAGATTTGTTCACCTGGAGCAGAAGGAGAGGGCAGGGCCGTCATGGCACATAAGACTGAACAGGGAAATGAAATAAGATCTGCCAAGGAACTTTAGGCTTCGAGGGTGCCTGTGTCTCTAAAACTCATCAGGCTCTGCTGGGCTCTTCCATCACCGCAGGAGCAAGGTCTTGGACTGCTTATCTGTATCTCCCAGATGTTTGGAATTTCCCGCAGAGTCGATTGTCTAGCCCAGCTCTAATCCCTCAGTTGGTTCCATCAGTTATAACAGGAAGTGCAAAATAGCGCAGTCGTAACAGTGGTAGTCTTTCTCCAACAGATAAGAATACTGTATAATTTTTTCAGCAGAAAACAGATTTTGTTCCTCTGGTTGCCTGCTCTGTGTTGGTGACTGGGACCCTATTGTCTCTCACATCTTTCCTGAGTGATGTCAGGTTGGGTTATGTGCAGTCATCTTTAAACTGAATATATGTGCATTCTTACTAGATTATAAGATTACAATACAATATGATAATGAGGTCTAATATCTGGTTTGACATGGAAATGTTTATGCACAAAATTCAGAGCTCTCACGGGAAGGCTAAATATTGATGAGCATCAGGGCTTGGTCCTTGATCTATAAGGCTCCTGTCTGCTCTCCCCTTTCCTCCTCTTCCCTCCCCTAAACTGATCCTCCATGGCTTCAAATGCTGCCTACATGCCAGGGTCCCCCAATTCTTATCTCTAGACCTCTCTTCTGAGCTCCAGACCTGCTTCCCCAACTTCCTACTTGCCATCTCTAGTTGGATGTCTCTCAGACACCTCAAACTTGACTTGTCTTCAGGCCTTTGGAGCTGTTCTTCCTCCATTCCCCCCTTAGTAGATGACGCCTCCATCTACTCAATTGGGAAGCTTGGAGGTCATCCTTAACACCTCCTTCTCCCCTCCGTCCCCCAAACCCAGACATCTACCCCATCACCAAGTTCTCAGATTTCCTCTTCTAAAACATGCCTTGAACCACCCCACTGCTCACCCACGGCTGCTACTGGAAGCACAGCACTGTCCACCTTTCCCTGGACTGCAGGCTCTGAGAGCCTCCCAACCAGCCTCCCCACCGCTTCCTGGCCTCCCTCCAGGCCACTCTTGGCTTCCAGTAGTAGCCAAAGCGAAAGATTAAACATAAATGTCAACATATCACTTCCCTGCTTAACACCCTTTGCTGTTAGGATGAAGTTCAGAATGTTTAGTGCGTCCTTCAAGGCTCTGATCAGCTCCGACGAATCTCTCCAGCTTCTTTGTTTCCCGCTCTCTCTCCTCCTCTGCACTGTGTTCCTCCCTGCCCTTCACCTTTAAAACACACTGTTCCCTCTTCCTGAGACACTCCCACCCACCCCCTCCACTCCTTTCACCAGCTTTATCCCTATTCATCCTTCAAGCCTCACCATGACTTCCATTTTTTCAGGAAACACCTCCTTGACACCCGCTGGCAAGAAAGCTCCTTACTTTTCCTCCCTATCCCTTAGCACAGCTGTGATTATATAGTTATTATATTTGTGACTGTTCCATGAACGACTGAGTCTGTGAATGTTATTGGTGCGATTGTTCCATGAATCATTGTTCCATGAAAGCAGCAACCAGATCAGTTTCAGTTCCCACTCTGCTCAGTGCTAAGTGTACTAGATAAGCACGTAGTAAGTATTGGTGGAAAGAGTCAAACCACTAATACCACACAAATAAAAATAACAGTGTGAATAGTCTTAATAAAGAGGCATGATGATACATCTAAGAAAGCTGGACACTGTGGAAGTATTTCTGTAATAAACAAAATAGCATGAGCAAATATTTCCCACATTACCTTTTTCCCCCAGTGATGTCTCCATTTGTACTCTTAGCAGTTTTTTTTTTCTCGAGTAGTAGAGGCACTGTCAGTAATATTTAATTTCTTTTTCAATAAGAAAATGGGACAAACTGAGTTACATGTAATAAACGCCATCTCTATGAAGTTTTTTGAGATTGAAATATTCCCCATTTGTGTTTTGCTGAACAGTTTATTCATTTCCAAAATGTCTAGCAGTGCCACTAATTACAATGAAGACCTAGCCAGCAGTTTTCTCTCCCTCAGGTGAACTTGAATAACATGTTTGTTTCTTTTCTTATGGCATTTGAACCACCTTTGCTGCATTATAGCCATTTTTAGACATCCCTTCTGTCCCCTATTAGGGAACTCTAAGCTCATCACTCTGCTACTTGATTGACATTGGGAATGTCAGCCATTTTGTCTCCAGAGCCCAGATTCCTGGGTGTAAGCAGCTTTACATTCTCAGAATTTGAAACTACAGTATTCTTATTATTCATGTGGACTTTTCCTAACCCTAGGAAAATAACCTCATATCCCGAGAAACATTCATTTTTTTAAATAAAAGGGATTCCTGTGGCTAAGGCAGTGTGAGAATGATTGCTGAATGAAATAATGAGTTCACTGGCAGCCTGAAAGTTTTTTGCCTGGAGGTAGTATTAAAGTTCATCGACTTGGGGTCTATGGTGAAAGCTCAAATATAAAAAGCTTTATGTAATGTTTTGCTTTATAGTAAGAGATGTGCTAATCTGATTTCAAGGAAAAAAAGAACCTATATTTTAAAATTGCTGTAATACTTTCAAGTGGAATTAATTATCCTTCCAAGACAAACAGATTTATATAGAATAGTAAATACAATATACAGAAACAACCACAGGAAGAAATAGATTCCAGGAATGCTCAAAGTTAAGAATACTTCTTCATATTTAGCAAGTTGCATAGCTGTCTTTGAAGTTGCCTGTTGACTAAAGTTCTAAGCTACATTTCCAGTCTGTTTTATGGGTTGAAAATCATCACTTTTATTGGAAAATATTCTTTGTAATAAAATCTTAATCCTGCTTTAAATGTTCTATCTTAATTAAGACATCATATTTGATTATCTTAAGACATTGGCTTTCTCAGGTAGGCTTATAAAATAGAATTTGTCCGTATATATTCACCCTGCCTTCCTATGATAGGATTGCTGCAGCTCAGAGTAGTGAATGAGTCACTTACTGAAATCCAGTAATGTTGTTTCAGTTGTTAAAAATTCCTATTTGCCTGTTTCTTTCTGGTTAGAATTTATTTGCTGCAGATTAACTCATTTGTGCCATTCATGACTGGAGAATATATTTTTTTGTATATTATTTTTAAAAACTAATAAGGCCATTATAGGATGTGCAGACTTTTCCCAGTTTCTAAACAGACATTTTCATGAGTTGCAGGAAGGAAACGGTACTCTGTTTACAACCTTCTATTTATTTCTACACTTTTGACTCTTACCCTCTGGTCATTTGCATGTAAAATATATTATTTCTTAAGATTTCCCAATACATAATAGCCTTGGTTGTATTCTTACAATCAATGTATTGTAAATCAATCTTAAAAACACCCTAAAGAACTTTCTTAAACCTCCAATTTAACATAAATAAAACTCTCTCTTATTTATCTGAAGTCTTTAGCAGAAAGCATTGATATATTTTTCCAAAACATATTTTTACAACACTTTCAGATTAAATCCATATTTCTGAATGTGTGTGTCAGTGAAAGAAAGAGATTATCTTTACTC